ACTGTTGTGCCTTTAAAACATTTTTTTAAGCTATAGAGGAGTTTCTTTATAGTAAATCTGACCCAGAGGTTCATTATGTAAAATAGATGGAATCAGAGAAGCTGTGGTTTAAGAAAAGCCTTGATACTCCCTCATTTTCCTCTCAAAGTAGTTTCTAAGGCTGCTCCTTCCCTGAACTCTGAACTCTCTGAGGTCCTTAAGGAGGATTTACAGGCCACAAATTTGAGTCCTTTGTTGATATCCTGGAAATTAGGTGGGGGTGGGAGGCTGTGGGGGGTGGAATTAATTCTCCTTATTTAATACTGATAAACTGAGGCTCAGAGACCACTCTGACACAAAGGTCTTCAGAACTTAAAACTGATATTTTTAATATTACTTGTCATTTTTAGTTGGCAAGTATTTTATTTATTATTATTTTTTTAAAGATTAGTTGGCAAATATTTTAAAAAGATACCTCACCCCTTGATATCTGAAAGAAAACTTTCTTAATTGTTCTCAAGGGAACCTGCACATACAAGGTAAAAACTGGGTGACGTGGGTACTACTTAGTACCCTGAGACAGTATTTATCAGATATGTTGGTTGGTTGAAAGCACAGCTGAGAAGTCAATACCTGATTTACTTTCATGGACTGCACTAGGAGAAAATGGCGTATGTCTGTTTAGTAGCCCAAGCCCAAGATATGCTAAGGATCATGTATTATCAGTCTTTTCCAGATTTTTAAAAGATTTTAAAATAAATATATACATTTAGAATATGGATAATATCAGATAGTGAAAATACTAAAGGTATAATTCTTTTAAGAGTTTAAAACTATTTTTTTAAAAAAATTCATTTTTATTTGACATTTCTTTCTTGAGTCTCTGATTTCTAAGTAGTATGGTAAACATGTTAATCCATCCAAAAGAGCTTGCTTTTGGACCTTAAAATATGTGTTAAAATAAGGAAAAATTCTTATTTGTTGGCTTTTAAGTTTTTAGGTCTAAGATGATCTGGGTCTTCAGAATAACTAACTCATCTTAGATAAGTTTTCAGTTATAAAAATTTTCCCTTCTTGGGTACCTGGGTGGCTCAGTCCATTACATATCTGCTTTTGGCTCAGTTCATGATCCTGGGGTCCTGGGATTGAGTCCCACGTTGGGCTCCCTGCTCAGCGGAAAGTCTGATTTTCCCTCTATCCCTCACTACACTTGTGCTCTCTTTCTCTCTCTCTCAAATAAATACGTCTTTTTTTTTTTTTTAAATTAACATATAACGTATTATTTTTGTCAGGGGTACACACCTGTGAATCATCAGTCTTACACAATTCACAGCACTCACCAAAGCACATACCTTCCCTAATGTCCATAAGCCAGGCACTCTATCCTTTCCCCTGCCCCAGCAACCCTCACTTTGTTTCCGGAGATTAACAGTCTCTTACCGTTTATCTCCCTCCTGATCCCATCTTGTTTCATAAAAAAATTGTCCCATCTTGAAAACAGTGGTTTCCCAAACCTCCCGTTCTGCCAATGATGTCATGGCAAATTCTAGGAGACCAGGACAAATCTTGATGAATGCTCTGAGTTTCTAGGATAATAAATCATCATAATTTCCTTGTTTCCATTCTGTGGTAGCCAGTCTTGATGACTGGGTTGCATTCCCAGAACAGGAACTTATGTAGGAGGAGAATAAAACCATCATGGACAACATTGAGTCATATTATGTGTACACGTGTGGGGAAGAACAAGGTTAGGGTTGGAAAAATGATGCAGTCTAATAAATCAGGTAATGAGAAAATTTTCCAAATAAATATTAAACTTTTGCTATTTAATCATCAGCAAAAAATGGAGTCACCAAAGGACAGGAGGAACTACAAAATTTGCATTATAGGGTATTTATCTGTAGTTCTCTGATTCCATTAAGAGACAAAGTTTTGTGCTTTGCTTTTCTTCCTGCTGACATTGTTATATCCTTGCTGTCCCAAGAAAGGTGACTAATTCTCTATTGGTTTTAAGAAAGGAAACAGGCAGAACAGCATGACTCACAATTATAATCTTCCTTTTTTCTTCATACAAGAAAATTGGCTTATGTGTGTGACTTGATAAAATATTTAACTGAGAAGAAGCCTTACTAATTGCATTCAGTGAAGTGAAATGCCCTCAAATAAGACCATTTATTGGTTAAATCACATTATCAGCAGAGCTATAAATCTGAATCATCTCATCCTAATGAAATTTACAGACTTTTTTTTATTCATTTCAGTCCTCATGTATTAGTTTGGTTTTATGCATATGTACATATGCAATTGACCCTTGAACAGTGTAGGGGATTAGGTACAGCAACTCCCCACACAGTGAAAAATCCATGTATAGCTTTCAACTTAATTTTTTTTTGGTAATGATAACAATATGGAACTTTTCATGAAAAATTTAGCCACAGTAGAGTAGGGCCCAGCTGTTGGATGTCTAGATTATAATAAAAAAGAGATATAGACTCTTTGAGTAGGATTATTCCTGGAGTTTTGTTTTTGTTTTTGTTTTGTTTTTTTGTTTTTGTTTTCTTTCAAGGTTTGTGTGCTTTCCCTTTCATTTTGAGTTCTTTGAGGGAAGACACCATGTTTTTACCATTGTGACTTCGGTACCCCCAAGGGAGTCACAAAGGAGTAGCTAAATGTTTGTTTTTGAATGCACAAATACACTCAATTCTACAATGCATCCATCACACTGCTTACAATATGAAATTATTTTGTATAATTCCATTGTGGAATTATCTCCAGAGAATAAATTCCTTCAGAATTTTCTCTAAGGTAGTAAAAATCTACCCTTTCAGACTAGGTTTTTTTTTTTTTTTTTTTTTTTGGAGGTAGAGTAACTTGAAACTAGATTTGACTGTAAAAAACAGTCACTCTTGCTGAACAATATTTTCAGTTTTAAATGAGGCATAACAAGGTAGATCTGTGTGTTTGTTGGGTATATGATGGACTCTTCAGAGAGTTTCAAAAGAGTCTTTTTTTAAAAAAAAAATTTAATTTATTTATTTGAGAGAGAGAGAGTACAAGCAGAGGGAGCTGCAGAGAGAGATGGAGAAGCAGGCTCCCCACTGAGTAGTGAGCCCAACAGGGAGCTCCATTTGAGGACCCTAGGATCATGACCTGAACTGAAGGCAGATGCTTAACCAACAGCCACCCAGGCACCCATCAGAAGAGGCATTCTAAAAATGTTTTGATCAGTAGTTCTGTCATTGAAATTATGAGAGAGTGTCCCAAAGGAACAAAACCGAAGAACTACTTATTCGATTATGTAGACTTTGATGTTACAATAGCCTTCCATTTGGTTGCTCCTGTTCTGATGCCCTCCCTCCTCAAGTTTTTGAGCAAACCTTCTAAATTTATTTTCTGTTCTTTTATCTAAAACTTCCAGTGACTCTCATTATCTGGAGAATAAATTCCAAATACCTTAACTTTGCATTTAAAGCCACTTGTTTTTGGGCCTCAGCCTTATTTCCAAATGTATGCCTACTTTCCCCCCTCCATGTAAACCCACACATCAACCAAATGGAACCAGTTATTAGTCCCCATTCAAAAGCTGTTCTTTCTTATAGTGTGGAGTGTTCATCCCATCCATATCTTCTTCTTCTTTTTTTTTTTTTTTTTAGTGAGGGAGAGAGGGGGAGGGGCAGAGGATGAGAGAGAGCAAGAATCTTAAGCAGGCTCGATGCCCAGCATGGAGCCTATCCCGGCACTCCTTCTCACAACCTGAGATCATGACAACTGAAATCAAGAGTCAGACACAACCAACTGAGCCACCCCAGTGCCCCCTATATCTTCTTATATAAGCCCCCCTTCTCCTCAGAACTCCACTTTAAATGCTAGCCAGCTCGAATTTTTTCCTTTCTCTCACTTATTATATTATTACATCTTGTTTTATGGCCTTTATAATTTTTACCCTATTTTATGGCTTTTATATATAGTTTTTATACGCCCTTTTTGACTCTTTGCCATTTGAGCCAGAAAACAAATCTCCCTGGGCCTTGATTCCTTCATGTCTCTCAGCACAGTGCTTTGCATATAGCAGAGACTTAGTAAATATTAGTGGAAGTTGTGAATATGTAGTAACACATATATACACTAACAATATCAAATGGTAAAGAGTCTGGACTCTATGGTAATGCCTCATATTTCTTTGAGAACGTTCAGAATTTGGAAATTTTTATTGGTATAAAAATCCAGTAGTTGTGCATGTGATTCAGTAATTCAGCATTACAGAATAAATTATTATAGAAACATGAATAATTGGGATATTCAGGAAATAGGGTGTTCTGAATAATTTAATTTTCTGGTTAACTTGGAGTTGGGCGGAAAATCTTTTTTGTTTCATTTCTTGTTAAAAAATTCTTTCTAAATATGCTAATTTCTGGTCTTGGGCAAAGAGCATCATTAAAATTTTCTTTGATGAATGAGGATATTAGAATGCCTTTGGGTAGTTATTACATACCTTAATTCTCATTTTACATTGCCATATATGTACAAAAAAGTTTTGAGTTTGGATTGTATCTCAAAAGTTCTTTTCTTTTCCCTATATTTAGCTATGGATATTTGGATGGGAGCAAAACCTAATATGTATTTTTATACTCCTTACTATAGAAAGTGCCGGAGAATGTTCTTTGTCTTAAAGAGTGCATTCTTCACTTTCAATTGACTATTTCCATAGTCTTTTGCTATATAATTATTGATAAAATTTTAGTTCCATTAGATATGTTATATTTATAACTTTGTTAATATATAAATACTTATAAAATTTATATTTAGCATATATACATTTATTGTCTAACCTTTAATTCAGCTTTTTCCTTCATAATGATCTCTGTTTTTAAAACTTGCCTGAACTATATGTAGTTTTGAATTTGTAATTTATCAGCTTACTCAGGCATAATTCTTTTATCTGTTACTTTTCCAGAAGTTTTTGCAAATCACAATGATTTTTATTTACTATTAAGACAGTGAAAAAAAAAAAGACAGTGATCATGAACACCAAAGATTTTATAGTTTTTCCATGGGGAAAACCTGGAAATTCTGTAAAGCTGAAATACAAGTAAGTGTGTGTTTATTACTTAAATAGAAATAATTGTTAACATTTCTGTATGTTGTAATTTTAAGTATTCTTTTTATATGAGGCAGTTTAGACTTAAATTTGTGAATTATTATCTCCATTTTCTTTACCTTGGTGTATTTTTATCTATAAGAGAGTAGGTTTGACATATTATAAATCCACAATAGTTTTTAAAATAAGGACTAAAATTATGTCACAAAACTGAAGTGAGAAGTTATAAATAAAATCTGGGTTTGTTGACTATTAAAGCCTTCTAATAAAGTTATAAATAGTTTGTGACCCTTGTTCGGAATTAAAAGGAATCACCCCGAAGAAACTGAAAGACACTGAAATTTAGGGATGCTAATTGGGCCAAGAGATCTTAAACAGAGAAGGTACTAACTATCCCAGCACTTTGCCTACTAAGAGACAGTATATTAAATTCACCTTTCTTAGGTGGGGCACCTTCTGTCCTGGATTGCCTTGTGGATGCATTCAACTAAAACCAAGCCATTCTGGGTATCCTGGGAATTTCATAACATGGCAGGAATACTGGAAATGTCAATATACTGTTTCCCTTTGAGGTCATCTAGAGTCACAGGAAATTGCCAAGGCCTTCCTTTCAAGTATCAATAAGGGCCAGCTGGTTTGGATTCAGGACAGACTGTAGACTTTTAATTTTAGTTTTGAGTTCCATGGATGAGATCAATAGTCTTGTGGTTATTCAGTGTCTTCAGAGCCTTCCTAATTCTTCCTTCACTTTTGAGATACTATGTGTAAGAGCATGTGTAAGCTGGAAAATGTTACACAAATATATGGGATTCTCAGCACAGTTGACCCTTGAACAACACATGGTTTAGGGGCACTAACCCTAAATCACTAAAGTACATTAAAAAAATCCATGTATAACTTTTGACATCCCCAAAACTTAACTAATAGCCTAATGTTGACCGGAAACCTTATGGATAACATAAACAGTCAAATAACACATATTTTGTATGTTGCATGTTTTATATACTGTATTCTTTCAGTAAACTAAGCTAGTGAAAATAAAATATTATTAAGAAGATTGTAAGGAAAAGACAACAGTACTGTACTGTATTTGTAAAAAAAAAAAATTTTGTGTGGAAGTGGACCCATACAGTTCAAACCCCTTGGTTATCTGTATTAGTTTTACCATTTTTTGGTGGGAGGGGAGCTATCCAATTGCTACTATTACCAAATTTGCTTTTTTTGTGTAAAAAGAAAATAGGGCATACAAAATTTGATTTTGGTCATGTTTCCAGTCTGTGTTTATATACCTATAAACCATTTACCCAAACATTTATTAAGTGCATGCGTTCTATACACTGTGCTGAAGAATGGTGAATATGAAAGTAAGAAGACAAAACCTTCGCTCTCAGGTAGCTTGTAGAGGATGTGAATAGATAAAGTCATATTTATGAGATAGTGTGAAGTGTAGTGTGATGAGAAAGCACAGTGGGCTATGAGAACATGGTCAAAACTACTGGATTAGTGGGGAGGAGGTCTCCAAGGTTCCTCTGAATGATGCAGTTAGTTGGGTAGTTACTGGGAGAGACTTGGGCAAAGGCACAAAGACCATATTGTCTGGAAACTTTCAGACATATCCAGTGATGTATGGAACAGAGACTTATAGAGCAAAGTTGGAGAGAAGGGCAGGGTTGTACAGATAATAAATTAATTTGTGTGCCACACTAAGGAGTTTGGAATTTATTTTGGAGGTAAGGTGGGGGGGATCACTGTTCCATGGCCTGCAGGTCTTCTTGATCCATCCATGATCAATAACCTACAGAAGCTATGACAGGAACACCCACTCTATGGTAATTGCTCTGGAGATCCATTTGTTCCCCTTTCCTTATTCTCCTTGTCCCCCTATTTTCATTTGATACTGTCTTAATGATTATCTTAACCTTGTTTGATGTATTGGTGCTCTCCAACATTTGTCTTCCTCTTTCTCAGCCTCTAACTCATTTCAGCAGGTTGTTTCTGGCCCTTGGATTTGGTGGGTTGACCTGGTCTCTGAAGGATCAACCCTAGTTTTCCTCAGTGGTCCTGCCTGCCCCCTGGCTCTGAGTCTGAGGCTGTCTCCGGAAGGAACCCTTGTCTTGTTTCACAACCATAGCATCCCATCAACTTGACCACTTGGTCAGTAAGCCAGTCTTTTTTTTTTTTTTTTTTTTTAATTCTCATCCATTTCCTCTACCACAGTGGGGTCTTCAGAAACATTAAATGTTTTCTAAGTAAGTGAGTAACACAATCACATTTGTGTTCTTGAACCCTTTTTCTGGAAGCCATGTGAAAAGTGTTCTGGGCCATTGAGACTTTGGGCAGGGAGACCAGCTCAGGTATCAGTCCTGAACTGTGTCCCCATCCCATACCAAAGTGATCTAAGCATCATTATCCTTCTGGTTGCCAGAGTAAGAAACCTAGGATTATCTTAGATTCCTTCTTTGTACCTTCCCTGGTGAGTCAACTGCTTCTGGTCAGTCTCCAAGTCCAGTTAATTTTATTTCCTCATATTTCTCAAGTGCTCCCATTTTTCTCTCCACTGTCTCTATCCAGTCAGACCAGCGTCATCTCTCTATTATTAGGATTACCAAAATAGTCTACCAACTGGCTACCTTGCCTTGCTTTTGAGCCTTGCACCCTCTAATTTCCCATTCTGCAATCAGAGCGATCTTTCTAAATAAAATGCAAGTCTGATCAATTCTCTTAAAATCCTTTGGTGAGTCTCATCACTTGTAGAATACAAATCCTTGTCATGGTCTACATGGCTCTTCATGATCTGGCTATTCTCCACCTCAGCAGTTCCATTTCTTGCTACTTTTCCCATCCTGCACATAATGCCTGGTTACATGGAACCTCTTGCTTCTTGACCCACACGTCACCTGTATCCACTTGTGCTCACACTTTTCTTTCTTCCTGGAACACTGCTCTCACCATTTCTCTTTGACTGGCTAGGTCCTTTCATCCCTTAGGGCTCAGCTCAGACTTCTCTTTCTCCTGGAACTGCTCTTGTAGGCCCATTGGCTGGGTATGTGCCCTGTGCCCTTTCTGTGTGTTCAGGTACCTGCAGGTACATCTCCAGTGATAGCACCATTATAAGGTGTTTCAATTACCTTCAGGCATGCTGGAAGCTCTACTGGGTCTCATCCCCTTTCATGTACTGTCACATATCCTGTGCCTGTTTGTTTTGGGGGCTGAAATACTGCTTGTGGAGCAGATATAATGAAAATAGTGCCTCCCCCTCAGCATCTTTGACAGCTTCTCTGAACCCTCTGGCAGCCTTTGCCTCCTTTCACTTTCTGTTTATCTCCCTGGATAGTGTATACTTGGGCATGGATCTTTGGCCCCCTTGCTCCTTGGTGCCTGCTTTTATAAATTAGTTCCCTTTTCTGATTTTCATTATTCTTATTTTTCAACTACTCGCCATTAAATCCTTGGGGGTATGCACACTACCTGAATATGGACAAACACTAATGTAGTAATAAAGGAAGAGATTTAAACTCATGATAGATAATAAAAGCTAGAGAACTAGGTTGGCATAGGCCTATGGAAGACGGAGTCAGTGACTAATACTGACAAGAGATGAGAACTGTAAAATGAAGAAAATGGTTTGTGTCAAAAGTTTGATGAGCTTCAGATATTATTATCAAAATCTCTTGCACAGGAATCTATAAGATGGCTCCTCTCTTTCTTCAAAAAACTTCTTTTCTTATTGTTTTCCTTCAGAGGAAACAATAGGTGGTGTTGGCCCAGTTCCCATTCAGTCCTTTTGATGGCTCCTATATCAAGACCATCAATAGATGCCTTCTTCCTAATAGGCTCTGCTCTTTTTGTTTTTTCTTTGTATTGTACTTATACAATACAATAGAGGTAGAAATTTATTGAAGGTTTCTAAGATGGTCAGGTCAGCAAAAAATGCGTATTCTGTTTATGGAGAAAAAAAAATGGTTACTTTAAACCATATGCCTCAAACTATTTGAATTCTTTAGAGGAAAGACAGTATGAAAATTAGAACATATTTTTTCTTTTGCATTCTATTTGTATAGCATAGATATTTGTGCATATGTGAAGGCAAAGTTCATATGGAAAGTGAATTATGATTTGAAGCATCTAACACTGTAATAGGAAAAACAAAAATTTGAGATTTGAAGAGATGTATACATCAAGGAGAATGTTAATGGAAGTTATTGCTAACTTGAGAAACCATATTTCACAGAATGCAAAGGAAGTAATTAGAATACCTTATCACTTACTGTTCATAATTTTAATTAAAGGCAAAAGATGATATAAAATTATTTTGTCTTTGTTTGTTTACCACAAATGAACATTCTGCGTTTAACTCTTACTCAGAAATGCTCAGGAACTGAGGATGGAGAAGGTCCAGTTAGAACTGGAGAATCAACAGATGGAAAAGAAGCTACAGGAATTCCAATCAGCCCGGAGTAAAGAAAAGGAAGAAAGAGAGTAGGTGACATTTTTAGGGAATTTGAGAGGAATAAACTAACTTGGATAAAGAATTACGTCATATATTAATATATTGTTCCAAAAAAGATCTGCCCTGAATGAATAATTTCTGGCTTTTCCTGATGAACAAATAGTATTAAATTTCTCCTACTTTTTCTTTATGTCTTTTATGATGTAAGACATGTTGCTTTTGAGAATTACCATTACTTCTGTTTCCTTTGGACCTTATTTGGTCTTACACTTCCTTATTTCTCTTTTTACATGACTTGTGAACCATTAAAGTCTGGGATGTTTAGCACAGAAATGCAGAAGTTGGCCTTTGCTCTCATAAAGCTGCCATCCATAGGAGACTGTGTTTGTGTTTAAGGTCATTTTTACTTAAGAAAAGACTTTTTGGGGACAGGAGTTTACATGTTCATCTATAAGAACCATTCAAACCCTCAAGTATGTTTAAAATATTTTTAGACAAATATGTTTTAGCTGAAATTTTATTAATGAGCACTCTCTAATATTGTACTTTGTATCTATACTAATTTTACTGGGCATTTTCCTTTATTATAAAAGTGATAAGCGTAGATTATAAAAGTCAAACAGAGCTGATGGTTATGTAATGGAAATTATTTCTTCTTAGCTGTAGGCTGAGTCTCAGACCATTTGTAGCTCTGCTTTTAACAATTAAGTTTTTTTTCCCCACAAGTGTCTTATCTTTGTGTAAGTTTGTGTGTGTGTGTGTGTGTGTGTGTGTGTGTATTTGTATGAATGTGTATTTGTGTATTTCTCACATATCTTTTACATTTTTACAAGTGAGGTTATCTATAAAATGATTCATACCCTATTTTTTTTTTTTACTTAATACATCTTAGCACTCTTGCCACATCAGCATGCAATTGATCTCATTCTTTTAAAGGCCACATATTTCTTTGTGTATTTTTCAGATTTTTATTAAATTTTCTCAGTTTTGTAGCTGTAAGTGCTACTGTGAACATGCTTCTATGTATATTTTTGCTTACACATGCAAGAGTATCAAAGGGTTAAATTTTAGTTCAAAGTGTATGTGCAGTTTACATTTTGGTAGATACTAGGAATATTGTTTTTCAGATAGGCTTTAAAAATGTATAACTTTCTCCTATGAGGATAACAGTGCATGTCTCATGTGCTTTGGCTGGTACTAAATCTCACCAGGCTTTTTGTATATTAAATTTGCTTTTGTTTTGTCTTATCAGATATCCAAGTGATATTATCAAATACCCATGCAATACCTTCTGAACCATTAAATAAAATTCAAATGTTTACTGTAGCATCAGTAGTATTTATCTTTAGAATCTGATTCTTTGAAAAATATTCATGACATATGCACACACCTTTTCTAATAACAGATTAATCAAAGATCTCAATGTCATATGTCATCCCAGGTGATAAAGTATATTGCATATTTTGATGCTCCTCTTTTAATGATCCAATGAACTTAGTTTGCACTTCTCAATGGCTCATGAAATATTTGTGAATCAGAGTTCCTGAAATTAGCCTCAAGAGAGGGTTTTCATTAGCTGAGGAAACTTTTCTAGATGTTTTTAAAAATGTTCTAAAGCTTGACTGAGTTTTCAGAAGAGGTAAGTGTTCTTCTAAGGTCACATAGATAGTAAATGCCACTGCTAGAATGAGAACCTGCCACTCACTGATCAGGAAGATAGAAGTCTAATGTTCCGACCTTGACTTTATTATTTATTGTCTGTGTGACCTTGGGGAAGTTTTTGTCTCATTATTTTTTAAGTGAGAATTGGACTTCTGCCCTGCTGACTTCAGAAAATTTTGTGAGTTTCAAAAGTGCTTTGAAAACTGGATATTAAACAGTTTGCCTTCTTTCTCATCTCTGTTACTTTTCAACATGGGAACTGATTTGTAGTCTTATACATGGAATTCATCACTAGTAGATCTGCCAAATATTTTGAGTATTATTTTGCTTCCTTTTCCTCTTTACATTTGTAGACACTTAGGTTTTTAAAACTGTACAACAATCTGTAAAGTTTCCTATAAATCAGTAAAGCTATCTTTAATCATCACAAATGTCTAAAAAATGAAATTCTTCATCCGTGTTTGGACATTTTACTTTTATTCATTTCTTCTCAACAGTTCCAAATATGGTAGAGCTATATTTTGGAATTGCTGAGGATATCGTGGCATTATTGATATTTCATTTTCATTTTGTGGTGGTCTGTTACATGTTAATGATTGAATATCATTTCTTGAAACAGGGAAAATATATTTGTTTTCATTAAAAGGAGAAATGTATTTGGTAATTACATTTTGTCTTCTGTTTATATATATTAAAGGTCAAGTGGATATCACTGGAAATCTGGACGAGTGGGAAAATTGGATAATCAATCACACACGATGTCACAAAATAAAGGAAATATTATTAAGGTAAGAAAATACCATTGGGCTCTCAGGGAATTTACTCAGTGAAGAGATATAAGTTAATTTTTCAGAACTTGTATTCCCTTCTATACTTAAGAAACCTACTATTCTTATTTTAACAACTGCATATTATTGGATTTTGATTAATTCTTATGGGTTAATTTATAGCTTTCATTATTCAGATATATTTTGTTTTTCATCGACAAGATGATTTTCAAGAATTCACCTTGAATAGAATTTTTCTAGACTGATTTTTTTTTATACAGTTCAATCAGTTCTGGTTTCAAGCATGTGAGATACAACTATGTAGTTTTATATTAAGATGAAAACTAAGTTATTTGATGTAACAAAGGACAGACTTTTTTCTGTCTTCCTATAATCACATTTGTTTAATAGTATTCATGTTTTGCTTGAATAATTATTATTCATATACTATTGAGTTTATGTGTGAAGATACCCAAGGAAAAAATGTTTTCAGGTTTCCCAGCTGTAGAATTGCTTTAGCTTTACTGTGTATTATAAAATATAACATTACCTTATATTTAAGATTAAAACAAGATGAGTGACTTTATGTAAGGAAAGCTGTTTTGTTTCTGTATTGTTTAGTACAAGATCCGTGACTTCGTAAGTCTTAACTTATATAGCTTTTTCTCTTTTATATACCTATCATTAAACTTTCTTTGGACCAGTTGGCATCTATAAACATCTTACTTGATGCTTCTAACCTTTCTGGTTTCAAAAAAGCCTTTTATTCTTTAGTGTCATTCTCTTCTTGAGATACGTTTCTTTAATTTTTGGATTATAATCCACTTCCCATTTCTCATGATCTTTCTGAGATAGTGTTCCATGTTTTAGATGTTATTGAAATATAATATAATAAAAATGCTGACTCTGTGATTATTGACCTATTTATTCAATAACAATTATTAAGTGCCTCCTTTGTCACATAGTGATTATCCTTGTTCTCAAGGAGATCCTCATCTAATGTAAAAGATGACGTACATATGAGAATAGGAAAAGTCAGTATGTCATTTTTGTTATAACCATTTAGTGTATAAACCATCTGTGTTTGGGAAAAAATACTTTAGTTTTACAAATAGTTGAGAGTCTTCTAGATGTCTTTGTAAGGAAAAAATGAATAAATCATAATGCCGGGCCCCACAAACCTCATAATTGAGTCAGATGTGAAAGCAAGGGAGTTTAGGGAGCTCTGGAAGGTGGGGTTAGAAAGTGAGCTAGGGCAGGAGGGAATAACAGAGTTCAGAGTCTTGACTCTTTCACTGTGGGAATGGAATTCCCTGACAGCTTTTGAGCAGGAAGACAGCAGAATTAAGGTGATGATTTATGATGGTTGATTTTGTTTAAATATCCAGGGCATTAGGAGTTTATAAATAGAGGATAGAATAAGTCATATTGAAACTATTTTCATCATGTCCCACATCAATAAACAATGTATTTTGATCATGAACTTTTCTATACATGAACTTTTCATTTATTTATAAATAGAATTTATTTATAAATATGATAGTTTACTAATATATCATGTGTATTATAAAACAAATTGTGGACATTATTTAAGGATGACACAAACTTCATTTCTACCTTCTGGTCTTTTCCTGAGCTCCCTCAGGCATGCATACATGCTACTTTGGAGGCCACTAATATAGATAGTAGCCTCCGAAGTATAAATAGGCAGAGAAACTATTTAGAAGACTAGTAAAAGAATCTAGAGGTCAAATGAGAAGAGTCTAAATTAGAATGTAGCAGAAGAAATATGAAGGAAACCATGGAACCAAAAAAGCAATGAGAAAGGAAAGGTGGAAGTCAAATGTATAACTGATATCAGGATGATTGACAATGAGGTAGAATAAAGAAAGAAGCTGAAAAAAATTGGGATTTAGAAATCCCTTTCCCCCTTCTTCTTTCCTTCCTCCTTTCCTCCTGCCGTCCCTCCTTTCCTTCTTTCCTTTCTTCCTTCCTCTTCTTCTTTTCCCAGCTCTATTGAGGTAACTGACGATTACAATTTTAAGATATTTTAAAGTGTAACAGCATGATGATTTGATGTATGTATACATTGTGAAAAGATTTCACCCATAGCTATAATTAACCCATCCCTACCTCACATATTTACTCCTTCTCTTCTTTCTTTCATTTTACTTCCTTCCTTCCTTCCTTCCTTCCTTCCTTCCTTCCTTCCTTGTTTTTCTTTCTAGGACATTTAAGTTCTACCTAGCAGATTTTGAGGATTTAGAATTTTATTTGACTTCTAATATGTTAGTTGAAGCCAAGAGAGTAAATATGCTTCCTAAGAATTTATAAAAGGGAGAAGAAGGGTATAAAGGATAAAGCTCAGAAAGGGCAGGTATGAAGGATAAAGCTCAAGGAATATGGAGGTAAAAGAGAACTTTAATATTGATAATCACTATTTTATAGCAGTCAACAGTTCAGCTGCTTTTCCTGTTTTATCTCATTAAGTGCTTATATTGCTCTTGAGAGGCAGTTGTTATTTTTCTAATTCCAGATGAAGTAATTTAACATCAAAAAAGTTCACTTGCTCAAGGTCAAGCGTCAGGGCCAAGATTTGGAATGCAGGCTTTCAAGCTGGTGCTAAGGTGATTTGCCAGCTCTCCGGTAAAGGGAGCTTGAGAAGAGGAAGAATGGTAGAACCCAAGTAATGTATTTTCAGAGAAAATGAAAGTAAAGGAGGGTGTTTTGACTGTGATTTTAGACCAGTGTTTCTCAACAGGGGTTAGTTTTGCCCCCTAGGAGACATTCGGCAATGTCTGGAGACATTTTTAGTTATCACCACCAAGACGGTTTCAGGTTTTTGGTTAATGAATGTTAGTGGCTGTAGGCCAGGAGTGCTGGTATGCATCCTACAACGTACTGGACAGCCTCGCCACCAAAGGATTATTTGGCCTAAAGTGTCAATGGTATCAAGGTCAAGAAACCCTATGTTCATCCATACTGACTAAAATCCTGACTCATTTCATTAGCTCTGTGATTTTAGGTGAGTCACTTAACTTTTCTGAGCGTCTGTTATCATATTTGTAAACATACAATATTTGCTAACTACTTCACAGAGTTTTAAGCAATGTTAAGATTATGTGTGTGAAACCAATTGTAACATTGGCTGAAAATGTTTGTGGAGAATTAGAATTTTTAAAAAACATTGAATTTGATTTGATATTAGATGGAAAAATATCAGTTGGTTACAGGAAGAAAGGTGGGTGGCAGTGAATAAAGTCTAATGCTGCAGTGAGCATGAGAATGTTGGGTGACATCTCAAGGATTAAACGGGATCAAGGAAAGACTTTATTACAGTTGGCCCTTGAACAACATAGATTTGAACTGTTTAGGTCCACTTAATAAGCAGATTTTTTTCAATAGATGTATGTCAGTACTATAAGTGTATTTTTTCTTCCTTATGACTTTCTAAATACCATTTTCTTTTCTCTAGCTTACTTTATTGTAAGAATACAGCATATAAACATATAACATACAAAATATGTGTTGATCAACTGTTTATGTTCTCTGTAAGACTTCCAGTCAACAGTAGGCAGTTAAGTTTTGGGGGGGCCAAAAATTGGTGCCCCAACCCCCATATTGTTCAAGTGTCAACTGTATATTGTTTATTATAATCAGAAACATGTGAGCCAGTTTGTAGCTGAGGGATGGGACTCACTAGTGGGGGAAATGTAGAAGATGCAAATGAGGAAGGTGCCAGTTGCTGGGGTGTAGTCTTTGAAATGATGGTTCCTTAGGTAGGCCTTGGCCAGTGGAAGAAGGACACACTGCATCTGGTTAGAAAGACAGAAGACAAAACAGGTGGCAGTAAAGGTAATATTTTAGAGGTTGCATTTGACAGGAGGTGAGGCAGGAAGCTGTGGAAAGATTTTAATGGGAAAACCTCAACATTTGTAGTAAATTTGAAGGCAGGATCATCTGCTCACAAAAAGGAGGGGGAATGGGGTGAATGTGAGTCTTTCAGAATGGGGAACATTTGAGTCATGTGGGAGTCATGATTGAGGTTTAGCACAAAATGAATAAGTAGACTGCTGAAGAGCCGTAAGAGCATGGATTTGTAGGGGACCCAGTCAGGATTATTTCATCACAATGGTAGGTAGATAGAGTAGAGGTCTAAGAGGAAGGAGGTAGGGTGATCATGTTTAGCCCTGAATAGCTCTGAGTCTGGGCTTTTGAAGGTGTGGCCTTTCAGATTGCTGCTAGGTTTAAGGTTTGGTCATAATGGTCAGGTGGCTGAAGAGGCACTTAGATGTTCATAGTAGTCAGCATGGTGGAGGGTTTTCAGCATCAGAGTGTCAGGTGAACATGGACATTGAAATCTCTATGATCATCACTCAGAACTGTGATGGAGAAAAATACTGAGCAGATTACTCTAGTTCAGGTGGAAGAGGATTGTGGATATTAATGAAAGTGGTCCGTGGATGGTAAGGACCTTCAGTAGAGGCATCATTGCTGAACGATGAGATCAGAGCGATATTCTGGAAGCAGCACTCAGGACCAAACAGGGAGAAAGATTTTCTTCTCTCCTGGTGAGTACAAGGGAGTAGAAATGGAGCTAGTTCCTCTGGAGAGTTCTTTGGAGAAGGTTGTATCTGAAGCAAGGTGAGTCCCATTAATGGGAACTTTTGCAAGAGGTGTTTTTAGGAAAGGTTTAAGTCATAGGATAAATGACTATTTAATAAGGGCTCTATGGACTAGCGGGAAACCAGGATATAAGGACAAGCAGTAGAAAAATGGAAAAAAGTTATGTAGCTAATTGTATTAAGAATAAGAATATTTGAAAAAGTTGCTCATGGGAGGATGTGGGCCCAGCATGGCAGATTAGGGCATTGGTGGGAGTTTGGAGGCATTTGTCAATGCCAAGGAGGCTGATGATGACAGCATAGTCTGACTTCCAGGGCCCATATGATATGTCTGTATAGTACAGCCATTAAGCTTCCCTGACCCTCAGTGTACCCCTTCAGTATTCTCTGGTGGAGGCATAAGTGGGTTAATAAGGCATAGGCTTCAGGATATCAAATTACTGATGTTTTAGATATACATGTATGTACATATACATACATACGTGTACATATGTGTATATACATATAGATGTGTGTGTGTGTGAGATGTAATGTGTGTATCCCTGGTCCAACCCTACCTGACCCTAGACTCTTCCAAACAGATGAAAATCAGACTTAGGAGGAAATTCTAGCTGCCTAAAAATAACAGCCAGCAGTTTGTTCACTGAAGTATTTTTATGCAGTTTGAATCATTTCAAGTAAATGTGGCCATATTTATAGAGCTGAAAAATATTTACAATAATAAAAACAAATTATAAAATTTCCCTAATAATCGGTTCAATTTGTTTTGGCATAGCCATCCTGCCAAGGTTGCCTATAACCACCTTGACCATGTTGCAATTCAGATGTATCATTAAGGTAATAATAATGGATAATTTTGTTATGAAAAATGAGATTAAATTATCTGTAACTTGTAAAACATTTTCAGTTTAAAAATAAGAGTGTGATTCACATAAAAGTTGGTTATTTCAATCCCATTTTCTTTTCTGCTGTGTTTGGTACATAGCATCTGAGCAGCTACTTGAAGAATGTGAACAAAAAATGCCCTTTTGAAGCAAAACCACTAGATTCACTGAGAATAATTATGCCTAAATTTTCAAAGATGACTGCAGTTGGTACAGCCGTCGACATAGAGGCAACTGTTTTTCTCATATTCTCATGTACAAATTGGGCAATTGAGCATGCAAATTGAAAATTGAAAACTAGGCATGAATTGACAGGGTCCGTGTAAATGTGCGCCATTCCTCCATGCTCATTTGTGTACTTTGAATGTTGGTTTTAATAAGATCAAGGCAAGTATATACAGTTAGTGAGTCCATTTTATGTCTTAAAATCTTAAGATCCAAGGATTTTAAGTGACTATTTGAAACATCTAAAGGCGAAGCTTATTTACTCAATATTTTGTCTATAACTTCAGACTGTCAGGGATCACAGCTAATATATTGAAGGTTAAATCTATGATGCTTTAACATGTGGTTCTCCAAATTAGACAAATAAGATAATATTGGCTTCTACAGTTATGTAAGCAGAGTGGCTCAGTCAGAATTCAGTTTAGATTTAGTCTGTACAAATATTAGGCTTTGTGTGTTTCAGAAAGTTCAGAGATAGAAAAGGCTTACTGAGCCTTTACAGTGTTTGAATACTAGTGCTTTCCTAAAATAGTTTCCTGAGGATATATAATTATTTTTGTTCAAAACATAATTTATGGCATGTTTTTAAAAGTGGTTTAGATATTTCCCAAAGTTCCTTTTTTTGGGGGGGGTAATTTGCTCTTCCTTCAAAGTTTTATATAAGTTTTAATCATGATTTTCTATTAATTTTATATTATTCTCTCAAATGTTTGTTTTGCTCAAGATGCACTGAAATTTTATGGGTCTCTACCATTTTTGTTAGTAACTTAAACATTCTTTGAATAAGAGAATATATACCTGACAAATAATATCCATTTCATTAATACAGTTTTCTGCTGGAAAAGTGAAATTAAAATTACTGAAGGAGCAACTTCAAGGTAAACAGTTTACCACTGTGTTATTAGATGCTAAAGCTATAACTTTTCTTTTTCATTTGAAGTACATAGATAATTAAAATGCTAGAATTGTTTGTGCTATATAATGATTCTAAAACCCAAAATGATGACTCTCATGTGAGGTTTTGATATTCAAATCCGTTTTATTTATTTTTGGGGGAGGGCAGCCTTATTTTATGTTAAAAATGTCAACTTAAAATATGAATATAATAATAACATTTTCCAAACTGAGGACTTTGATAGTACTATTCTGTGATCTTACTTATATAATCTTTTAACCAGGAAGATAATTGAGCAGTATAAAATTATATATTGAAATTCTACTTAGGAATCTAAAAGAATATTGAAAATAGTTTTATATTTAATTAATTATTTCAAAATAGCAAAACCCAAAAATCAATTTTGAATTCACAGTAAATCCAAAAGAAGTAAATTTTTTATGAGGATAAGTACATTTAATTTGAATGGATAAGATAATTTGGTAGAACAAATTCTAGAAATACATGTAACATTTATTATAGAAGGTTGTTTTCTGTGAGCTTCATTTAATTTAATCCGGAGATGGGACAGAATGCCATAGGGATTCTATCAAGAGCATAGTTTTTGACATTCTGTAATTTCACTTATCTAATTCAAGTGAGTTTTAAGCAGGATGGGTATGGGCACTTATGTGGGCCCTGAGATCACAGAGAGCTATGGGGGAGGACTATGGTTTCCACAGTTTACTGGGAAGAGTAGACTTGCCTGCACTCCATTCTTACTGGGGAATTAATATTTAAATACTCTTTGAGAATTTAGAAATGTGCTTAAGTTCATTACTTTATCAGTCAGAAAACTAATTGGCCTGACATTTTTCTTTTCTTCCAGATCCAGTGAAACCACAAATTAATTATAAGATGGCCAATCCTTCTGAAAGTAAAAAATCCAAGATAAAAGGGAAGGTTTGTGGACAGTGTGAGAACAAAGCTGCTCTGCTGGTATGTGCACTATAAAAAGGTACTAGAACCTAACTTTCACATGGCCTCACTCACCTCTCCCAAGTTGACCTGCTTTGGGAGCCAGATACTTTTCCTTCGCTGCTGTTGCTAAAGGTGATGTGTGCATGCCGCCCCGTACAATGCACTGCATCTCATCCTCTCATTCCAGTTTAAGGATATCACCTTCCTCCTTTCCTCTCCCTCTTGGATCATGCCAATCAGCACACAAACATGTTGCAGTGCTTTCCAAAGCAAAACTACACCAAAAGTTCTTCTATGACCACCACATCTCCCTCTGCACCTTTGTTAGTAAAACTTCTAAGGAGGTGTGTACACTTGCTCTCATCATATTCTCTCTTCCTATTTTTTTTCTCTCTCTCTTTTTTACTGAGGTATAATGCACTTACTGTGAAATAGACCTTAAATGTACAATTAAAAGGCTTTTGACAAATGTTTACACCGCTGTCAATGTAAGAGAATACCCCTGAGAGTTCTCTTGTGCCTTTTCCAATTAATTTCCACTACAAAGCCAACTGCTCTTGTGATTTTTAGCCATACCTTTAGTGGCACCTATTCTTGAACTTTATGTAAATGGAATGATAGGGTATATATTTTTCTGTGTAAGGCTTCTCTTGTTCCACATAGGGATTGCCGATGTTATTACATTTATTAGTAATTTGTTCATTTAAATTACTGAGTAGTACTCCATTGTACAATATACCACAATCTGCTTATTCATTGACATACTGAATGACAGTTGGGTTGTGTCCAGTTTTTTACTACTGTGTTTAAGGCTGCCTTGGATATTTATGTGCAGGTCTTTTTATTTTTTCCTTCAAACAAATGATGTTTATTTTTTTCTCCTTAAAAGTTATGAAGTGAAATTGAAAAAAAGAAAAAAAAAAAAGCCCCCAAATGGTTTCCAACGGTTCTCTAACCTCTCATTGTTGCTGATTTCATGAACTTAAAAAAAAAAATTATGGCAAAATATGCCATAATTTAAAAGTTACCATTTTGGGCGCCTGGGTGGCTCAGTGGGTTAAAGCCTCTGCCTTCGGCTCAGGTCATGATCTCAGGGTCCTGGGATCGAGCCCCGCATCGGGCTCTCTGCTCTGCAGGGAGCCTGCTTCCTCCTCTCTCTCTGCCTACTTGTGATTTCTCTCTATCAAATAAATAAAATCTTAAAAAAAAAAAAAAGAATTAAAAGTTACCATTTTAGCCATTTTAAGAGTACAGTTCAGTGGTGTTAAGTACATTCATGTTGTTATTATGCCATCACCACCATCCATCCACAGAACTCTTTCCATCTTACGGAACTGAAACTCTGTACTAATTGAACAATAATTCACATTCCCCATTCCTGTCAGCCCCTGGTAACCATCCTTCTCCTTTCTCATTCTTCTTTCTGTCTAGGAATTTGACTATTCCAGGTGATTTGTATAAGTGGAAGCTACTATATTTGTCCTTCTGTGCCTGGCTTATTTCACTTAATGTCTTCAGGGCTCATCCATATGGTAGCATGTGTCAGATTTTCCTTTCTTTTCAAGGCTGAATAACATTCTATTGCATGTATATTCCACATTTTGTTCATCCATTCATCCATCAGGGGACACTTGGGTTGATTCCACTTTCTGACTATTGTGAATAATGCTGCAATGAACATGGGTATAAATATTTGTCCAAGTTTCTACTTTCAGTTCTTTTGAGTATAGGCCCAAAAGTGGAATTGCAAAATTCCCATTCTTTCTTGAACCCTGTGTATTCAGAATTGGGTCTATGTCCAGCAACTGCTGCTATCAAGTTCACCGATGACATCCATATTCTTAAATACAGTGGCCAATTCTGAGTTCTTATCTTAATCTATCAGTAATATTTGGTACAGTATTCCTCTTTTCTTTTGTGACTCTTCACTTGGCTTCCTCCAGGACATAATTCTCTCTTGGTTTCATTTTACTTTGCTAGCTGTCCCATCTCAGTCTTTTGTTGGTTTTCTGTATTCTAGACCCCTGAATGTTGGAGTGCCCCAGGACTTAGTCCTTAACCCCCTTCTCTAGTCCATCTATTTACCCTTTTTTTTTTAAGATTTTATTTATTTATTTGACAGAGATCACAAGTAGGCAGAGAAGCAGACAGAGAGAGAGGGGGAAGCAGGCTCCCTGCTGAGCAGAGAGCCTGATCAGGGCTTGATCCGAGGACCCTGGGATCATGACCTGAGCCGAAGGCAGAGGCTTTAACCCACTGAGCCACCCAGGCACCCCCATCTATTTACTTTTGATAGGTAATTTTGTCTACTCTCTTGGCTTTAAAGACCATCTCTACATGGATGGTATCCAAATTTACATCTCTTGAGGTGCCTGGGTGGCTCAGTGGGTTAAGCCTCTGCCATTCAGCTCAGATCATGATCTCAGGGTCCTGGGATGGAGCCCCACATCAGGTTCTCTGCTCAGCAGGGAGCCTGCTTCCCCCTCTCTTTCTCTGCCTGCCTCTCTGCCTACTTGTGATCTCTCTGTCTCTGTCAAATAAATAAATAAAATCTTTAAAAAAATATACATCTCTTATTCATCTCCTCCCCCTGAACTTTTCCAACTCAGACTGCTTACTCAACAGCTCTACTTGGTTGTCTAACAGTAATCACTAACTTAGTGTGTTCAAAATTGAACCTTTAGTATCTCTCCAACATATTTTCTTTTCCACAGTCTCCTCAGAAAAATGGTCAATTCAAATGTTCCCTGCCCCAGCAGCCCTTTGTAAGGGAGGAACAGCTGAGTAGCCCTGAATTTTTTGGAGCTTCTCCATGCAACCACATTACATTTATTACCTCTTAATATGTACTTATGTGTTTATTTTCCACCTACCTATGTCAAGTTCATGAAAGTAGGGATTTAGTTTTGTTCACTGTTGTATGCCCGCCACCTAGAATTATGGCTGCAATTTAGGAGGCACTCAACAAATATTTGTTGAAAGAATTCATTTTTTTTTCTGTAATAAAGACTTCAGATATATCTTCCTTTCAGTTGGTATTAAAAGTACTCCAATATCTGATGTAATTTAAAATATTATACGCCTTTGAGAAGCAGTTTCCCCCCCAATAATTTAATGATTATAACAAATATTTGTAGATGACTGTAATGATATTTGTTATAGGTTTTGGAGAATTTGGCCTTCATCATTTCTGATTTGAGACTCTGTTACTGTCCTTATTTCATGGCAGTTTTAATTGGTCTAAGAGAGTTAGAATGCTGTAAGTCTGATAAAGAGATAATAGCAATGTTAAATATAAAACCCTGGCTCTTGGTACAATGCTCTTACTATTACATCATGCTGTCTTCTTATTTGATGTAATGATGGACAATAATTTAAGAAATCTTTACAAATTGTATCTATCCAGAAATGTTTAAAAAATACAAACAATGTTAATATTCCTGAAGTTGGAAGTATGAAAGCTAAAAGGAACTTACTGGCTGAACTGAATTGTTGAGGCCCACTGTTCATGATCTGAGCAAAGTATTTATGTAGGAGCTGTCAATATTTCTTGTGAATCCTGTTCTGTGTTGAGCATTATTTAAAGACCATCAAATTTGAACAACATGACATACGTAGGTAGGTAAATTTGACCTGGAAATAAAGGATGTTTTTCCAAAGAGAAGGAAAAACAAGAAGAGGACATTCCAGACAAGATAAACGGCACATGCCTTGTCTGGAAAGCAGACGAGAGTGATGATGTATGCAGTGATTAAAAGGCTGATTTGCTTGAAAACCGTTAGAAATAGAAGCCATCATTTAAATCCTACACAGTCTTGAAGATTTTTGCTAAGATTTTAAGAAAATATGTTGGTTGATTTGAAGTGAAAGTAATGACCCATGATTATTTGTCAAGCACCACAATAAGTTATTTAAAAATTCAAGTTAGGCATATCTAATGAAATAGACCGTGGTGATGGTGAACTTAAGGTTATCTTGTATTCTTAGCATCCATCATTCTACATGGTAATGCTGGTGTGTAGTGAGATTAAACCTTCTAATAAATTATGATAGGGCCTGCATCAGGGTAAACTGTATATGGGAAGTAGAGGTTAAGAGCTTGCATTTTTGATCGTTTGAATCTTGACTTTACCTTTTATTAGCTATGTGATCTTTAGAAAATGGCCTAATTCCTCTGTATTTCTGTTTTCTAATTTGTTACAATGGGATAATAGAGGTAGTATAGTCTATACCTCAGAGTTACTGAGAATAATGGTTAATGCATATGAAGTAGTTAGCATTGTGCCTGGCACATTGAGAGGAGACAGTAAATTGTGTGTTTTGTTGTTGGCACGTTTTCATATCTCCTGATGCATTCACATACATTGATGGTAAAAATAAAATCCCAAACCTCCAGATTCCTTATTTTTAAAAGAAATTCCGTAGCTTTAGGCTGTTTGTACATGGCAAAAGTGAAATGGATCGTTAAAAATTACATATTAATTTGGCAAATGTAGATAATTTAATTAAACTCAAAGGGATTCTAAAGGCTTAGCACAACTGATCTAGGCTTGATCAAATTAAAAAGATATTTGCTAAAACTGCACTTGGGTATTCCATCATTGAAGAAGTGTCTTTGGCGGAATGGGGTCCTTATCTACATTTTTAGTACTTTCTGCCAGTTATACAAACTGCCTAAAAAGATTTTCCAGTTAGCGGTCATTTTAACCCAATTTAAATCCAAATATGCTTGTATAACAAAATATATAAGCTTACTCTGCAATTCCAGCTTTGATCTTCTAGTCTACAACATCCGTTTGGCTACTTTCATTAAAAATCTGTTGTTAACAAATACTTGGCTTAGAATTCTAAGTTCAAACTGATTTTCAGTATTCTATATTACATTGTAACGACAGTTCCAATATGTCTAAAAAGTTTATTAAACTATTAGCAGATATGTTAATAAAAATTATGCAGAATACATTTGGAAATATACATCAATACAATAGTACTGCCATGTGTATATATGAAATTACAGCTTTATATTTGGTTGTGCACTTAAAAATTATGGATCCAGATAATGTTTTAATCATCATTTCTGTAAGAGACTGTTGTTCTTCAAACATGAGTCGAAAGGGTGGGACTAGTTCTGCTATTAGGGATAGTGTTTATTTTTCCTTCACTTAAATAAAAAAATCAGTTCTGTATAGCTAATCACATTTGAAAACGATGCATTTGGATTATGATAAATACCTCCCAAGCAGTCATTTGTCACATTGGGTTTTATTTTATTGCAGATTTTATCAAGGTTTTTCAATAAATGATTAGTGTTATGATTAATGGTCAATGTGATTTTTAATAATTTGGGTCATGAGCAAGCTTGAGTTTTCAGCCAGACTGTGGGATTAAAATCCTGGCTCCATTAGCTGTGTGACTGGGCACATTCCCAATCATTATGTTCCTTTATTACTCCCTCTTCACAATGGAGATACAATGATCATGTTAATCTTCTAGGGTTGTTGGGAGGATTCAGTGATGAAACATATGAAACCGTTTGAACAGTGAGTTAGTGTTCCATAAATGTTGTGGATACTGTTATTGTTATGGGATTCTAGCCTTCCTTTTCAGTTTCATTAGTTTTATAAAATGTCTTACTCTTTTTACCTTTGGTGGTTGTTGTTGGTGTTGTCCTAATCATCTTATATTTAATAAATCTGGTCACATTATTGCAGGCAACTGTCATCATATGGAGACTTGTAATACAGTTTTTTTTTTTAAAAGTAATGGTCTCCTGTTGGGTTTTTAATAAGTGTTTACTTTTCTACACCCTGTACATTCTGGTGCCTGTTACTTGGTGCGTGGTCTACACACCAGCAGCTGCATGGACGTTACCTGGGTTCTTGTTAGAATGCAGGATCTAGGTCCCAATCTGGACTTCCTGAATCAGTCTTCACTGCAACAGGATCCCAGGTGATTCATATGTGCAAGAGGGGTCACTGTATTGCACATTTCAGCCAGCCACTCCCTAGTCTAGAGTAGAAGAGCTTGGTCAACCTCTCCCCAATCTGCCCTAGCTGCTTTCTGCGTAAGATCCCTTGACAGGAGAAGAGAGGGTGGAGGAGAAGAATGGCAGTGGGCATGCAAAGTGGAAGGAGAGGAAATGAAAAAGAATCAAAGGGAATGTGGGCTCTGTGACATAGACTTTCTGACATCATCTCTCCAGACCCTGTGCTTCCTTACTTATTTGTGCTGCTGGCATTCTTAACGTGGCCCAAACTCAAGAAAATTAGAGGTCTTAGCCATTTGGGCTGCTTTTTCTCATGTTGTATAGGCTCACATTGAAGTGGCTGTACAACTGCCTGTAGTACTTTCAGTCGCAGTAAAAATTCCATTTTTTTTTTCTTTTTACTCTCAGTCTTGCTCAGCACCATCATAGGTACAGGTATATCCCATCAATTTATTCATAAATTAAAAAAATTTCATTTTAACACCATAGAGAATTTGAAAGATAAATATAAAATTGTCCATAATCATTTTGCCAGTCATAAGAATTGCTGACATATTGATGGGGTTCTATCCTGTTCTTTTTCTTATACTTACTTTCCTTTGAGGAATCTTCTAAGCATACTTCTCAAACCATATTTTGAGAATCACCAGTGAATTAGTACCATTGAAAGAAGTGTGTGGGGATTTCTGAAGACAAACAGTATATGCATTGTGCCATGTAGATCAATAGAGAAAAATTAAGGAACTCATAAAAATGAAGTAGTTTTGACCCAGAGAGAATGCCTGCTTAGTTTTTACCAGGTCAAGAAGTTTGGTCCCAGGTTGCTGATGTTTTATGACTTACTTGGAATTGTATATACATATATACATCTAACACATATATCTAAAAGTTACTTGCAGCTATTATATTTATTTTCATATGACGGTAATTAGAGTTTACAAATTAGTTTTTTGGGTTAAATTGTTCCAGTTTCCTTGGGCTTCTCGATTCTGATGACATCTAGGCATGAAATTGGAGAAATAAAGATAAGAATAATGACTTCTTTATGCAAATGTTTTCTCAAGGTCATATTAATATAAGATTGTGTGATATTTTAATGTCTTTTAAGGTATGCCTTGAATGTGGAGAAGATTATTGTTTGGGTTGCTTTGCTAAAATTCACCAGAAGGGGGCACTAAAACTCCATAGAACAACTCTTTTGCAGGTATGACTTTTAAAAATGCTTTACTTGTACTGTATTTATAAAATGTTTCAACCAAAAGACATTTAAAACATGTTTAATTATCTAGAATTTAGGACGAATTATATTAATTTATAAAATTCTATTATGTACAGTTTTTTACTTATATCTTAAAATTATTTTACTGAGTGTTAATCTGGGTTCAATTTTGCTATTTAAACTGTGTTTTAATATAGTTCCTGAGACATGAGCTTGATTAGAGTTTTTAGATCATGCATTTTATCTGTGAACTTGACATTTAAAAATTAGACAGTATTTTTATCTATTGTGGTTTCAAATGAACACATGGTTTGCTTTAAGTATTATTTCTATATAGTTTATAAATAGAAATCTCTACTGTTTCCTTTTCATGTTTTTTTTAAATTAGTCTTGTATTTGTCCTCACCCATTATCATTTAAATAAGCTTATCTCTCAGGTTTCTACTTTTCCTCCTACATAATAGAAGCTTTTATTTTTCCTCATATAGGCATTGTTCTGTGAAATGCTCAAGTTCAAACCCTGTCAGATGGTTTAAAAATTCTAATACTTAAATAAGAAATATGGTTAAATATAGATAGGACATATTATACTGGTTACATTTCACAGTGCACTGATTTGTCATAGATTTCATTCATTATGCAGCAATTTATTCAACAAATATTTATTGACTATCTTTTAGAAAGCAAGGTCTGTGCTAGGCAGTACCTTACACAGATGAATGACACTAGGATTCTGCTCTTAAGGACCTAAGTGAGAACCAAGGACCTTGTGTAATGGGTTAAAGATTTTACTATCTTGTAGGCAAAAGGAAGGAGATGATCAGATCAATATTTAGAAAGAAACTGGTAGGTTTCAATTTTTACATGACACCTCAGCATAAATATTGACAACTCTCAAAGATGCTGATGACCCAAGTCATAATAATCACAAAACATAAAACAGACCTTATTCGTATCAGTATTTACCAAAGTTACTTACTTTTCAGTGACTACTCAGTATTTAGAGTTTCTTAGCAGAAATCATGAGAGAAAAACAAAACAAAAATAACCAACCACCTGTTACTCTCCTGTCTCAGGAAGGTTTATACAACTGGACAGTTATAGAATTGTAAATTAATGTCTATAAAAGTGAAACTAATTGTTAATATAGAACTAATGTAGAATTTAAAGACACTCCACTTTAAGGGTAGAGTCTAATTCCCTCGCCCACCAAGCGCATATTAGTAATATTTGCTGGTCTGGAAGATACAAAGAAGAATGAGACATGGATCGGAGGTATTCTCTCCTCTCCCTCCCTCCTTCCCCATCTCTATTCCTCTCTTTCATGTCTCTCTCCCTCTCGCTCCCTCTCTTTCTTTCATACACATCACACACACATATACACAATTTCAAAAGACAGACTGTGCTGTGATATGGCTTATTGTTATCTAGAGACAGATATAATATGGGTCAAATCATGCTTACTAAAAGCAATGCAATATAGTGTATGCTTTATAAACATTATGTCATTAAAATCTATGTCTTTTATGTCTTAAAAAGAAGAATGTCATCTTTCTAGATGGGATTCTCATGTAATTCTAGTGTGGAATTGATAGGGAAGAGAGAATTAATACTTATGAATATATACTTTGTATCATACACTGTTGTTATATCCTACCAGCATCACATTTTCTAGCTTTGATTGCAGGGGAAGAAAGGTTGGTGAGCCAGAAATAGTAAAATGGCATTTAAGTTCCTAGTGAATCTCAAGTTGTGGAAGACACATTCATCTCTAAAAGTTAACAGAAGTGAATTTTATGACAGGTGTGAATCAAAGAGCATAGCAAGTGACAACAAATCCTTGAGATGTCTCTTTAAACACAGGGGTTCCTTTATGTATGTATTTTAAAGTTAAATACCATAGAGAACTATGTATTTTCCATATTCATGTTAGTCCTCTGTGTTGCCCTACAGTCTGTGAAGACAAAAGTTGCTACTTGATGCTATTTCGAGGATAGTTCTTGGAAGTTCATTGCCTACTGGGGAAATCAAATTAGGAGGCTAAACTTAGAGAAAAGTATGGGGAGACTACGCATGTTGGGAGCTGAACATATATTGTTCCTCTTTTTATATAACAACATTTCACTTACCCAGATTGCTATGTAGTGAAATACCTTGAAGATTTTTTCCAAATAAATCAGGTAAATTTGACCTTTATTCATTGAACAAAAATTTAAATTAAAAAGAGATTTTTGTTTTAAGGAAGCTTTCAAAATGTATAACATACTCCCTCCCATCTTAGTAAAGATTACGGTGAATACAGTCTCACTGTATTTTGGTGACTCCTGCTCATTGTTTTGCCCACTAGCTGTTACAATAGTTTATTAGTTAATAAGAGGCCTTGGCCAGCAGATGTAGTAGGTGGAGCTATACCTTCCTTCTAAGAGGTTTGCTCTGATTAGTATTTCATTTTTCTTCTTTATCATGGTCTTACTAATTCTCTGCTATCACTTCTTGCTCTTAATCAATTGTCCCGTTAGCTATCTGGCATTTTCTTCCTCGTTCTGTTCTCTGTTTAGCCCTTTAATTTTTTTTTTTCCAGTCATCTTGTTTTTTTCTCCTTGTTTTCATCATTCTCCCTTGTTTTTTCCCATCAGTAAAGGTTCTTGCTGCTGTTGTTCCCTGGCCTGAGGATCATTGGTCAGCAGTGAATGGTGTCTCTCTCTGTTTAACTCTCATTAACCAGTCATATAGTATTTTTACCTTTCCACTAATTTGGCAACTGTCAAAGCCATGAGATTTTTTTGTTGAGTGTTGAATTCATGCCAAATTTGAGAAGTTAGAGCAGACATTTGATACTTGACTTTTAAGCATTACTATATAAAAAGCAAGCTTTCTAAGCTAATGGCTACTCTACTTTTATATTCTTTAACCTATGCTGACATTTCTGGTTATTTTAGAGCACAGCCAAATTTGATTGCTGTAAACTGTTTCAGCCCCCATCCTATAGCCCAGTGAGTCTTTATATAGTTCACAGTCAACAGGGACCATTTTGTACTGCATATATTCTTTTACTTAAGAGGTAAATCCTTGAAAAAATTGAAGGCAAACTATTACCATTTCCATGTTGACTGATATTGGAATTTCAAAGGGTCTTTCTTTTGATTTATGATTGATTTATACTTGGCAGTGATTCTAACACAAGTTTTTTTCTTTTTTCACCTCTCCAATCTCTGTTAAATAGTTAATTATCTGCAAAATAAAGTGCAAATGCATGAGGAGAATTACTAAGGATGAAAATCCTATTTCTACATTTAGAATGATTTGCAATACTTTAAGGATTGAAACAAAGTTTTTTCAGTGAGTAAGCCTCACATTGATGAAAAATAAGGTCTTAATCTATCAGGCATTTCTATTTCCTTTTACCAACATCCGATCAAACACAAGAGACAAGGTTAATCAGAGATAATAGAAGATAGGAGGGAAAGCAACCAAAAGGTATTCCATTATGAAATACTACATGCACAAAGGGAGGTTGGATTAGGTACATCACTAATAGATTCTGGTATGTGTGTTTTCTTAATCGGAATGGAGATTTTTCTTAGCTGGGAGGGAGAGATTTGGGAAGGGGGATGGTTATTAATGAGTGAAGAGATAATTGAGGTAGTATTTCCATGTTTTCTGGTATAAAGCATTTATATGCAGCCTCTTTACCTTTTTTTAATCTCCAAAGAAAGGTATGTCTATGTAGATATAATAGAGTTATATGTTTGCTTGAACATACTTGTAGGAAAGTAATCATCAGGTAGAACTTCAGTTATCATCAGAATGCTATTTATGGTAGTTTTTTCTTTTAGTTGACAGTGACCAGTATCAGCTTACAGGCTCACACTGTCATTGTTCTGTTAATGTTAGGAATAATACAGTGTTTTTAAATCATAGCTAGTCATTTGGACAATATCATTATTACTAAGATGATCTTAATGGACCCATTTTAAATGCTGTGTGTACACAGTATTTATAGATGCCATGGTGTGCTACTGAGATCCTCCTCTTCAGGATTGAGATACTCACTTCCTTAGCTACCTGGAGTAATTGCCTATAGGTGGATCATATTTGGGCCTCTTCTTGGGAACTGCTCTTGCCCAAAGAGAAGTGCCACTTCCAAGCTTACACTCCATTCCTTGAGGCAGTCATTTTCTGGTCCAATTTCTGGTCTACGTGAGGGTACAAGTTCCCAGGAGCAGACCCTTGCCTCAGTTGAGAATAGCTGATGGGCCATCATAGCTTCAACTGTCAATCGCATCAAATTCAGTTTTCCTCTTTCCCTAAATTTTCCTCTTTTGTCAATCATACTTGTTCTTTTCAAAGAATTTCCCACTAAAAGTTAGGCAGGCAGATCTCAGAATTTGTTTCCTGGGAGCCTGACCCATGACAATATCCAATTCAGAATGGAATTATAGAATTTTTAGCCCAACTTTAGAGTGCGCTGCAATTTTTGGAGGTCAACGTATAATATCTCTTTTTCTTCATTTTTCAGATTGTGAACCAAGTGAGAAATAGATATTAGAGTGAAGACATAGAAATCTAAATATCAATTTTATTATTGCTACAATTAAAATTACTGATTGCCACAGTCAGCTTCCCAATTCTTCCTGGAATTGAACATTTTTTTACCCCACTCCCAAGTGGTAGACATTTCCCTTTGCCAGGGCAGGATCTACCCAGTAAAACTTCTTAATGGTTATCTAGATTGCAATGTCTCCTTCTCCGGACAGGCAGAGCTCAGAGAGAAAACCCAGAAGGGGCAGCAGTGAACATGCTCCTTTCCTTCTCCAAAGTCTCAGCAATAAGATAGATACGTAGGGATGAAGAGTAAATATTCCCTTAAAAAAGAATTATCACAAATTCTTATGATTTTAAAGTTTAGGTAATGTAAATGTCTTGTATAAATTTGCTATTTATAAATATTAGTTAATATTACACTTAAGAAAAAACAAAATACC